GACTCACGCCCGATGAGGGACCCACTGTTGGCGGACAATACGGCCCTTATATACAGGTTTGCCATTCAAATGATGGTCGATATGAAGTGATTTAACCGTCAGTTTAGTCCCAAAGAACAGAACTGTATAGAGAGAAAGCGGCGGAACTGTTGTCCACACCATTCGCCTACCGGTGCTTCTGCTCTGATATGCGGTTGAATTTATTGCGCAAAGAGAAGCTCAAGAATAGAGAGATTCCGAGATATGACAACCGGTGCCGACATTTGACGCAAACAGAAATCGACCAAAAGCTGGCCAACGGAGAGAAGTATGCGATTCGTTTGAAGTTGAAATCGGGTCCAATTGGTTTTGATGACATGGTTTTCGGTCGACTCACCTATGATTTATCGGCCATAGAAGCGGATCCCGTAGTGTTTAAGAGCGACGGCTTTCCGACCTATCATTTGGCGAATGTAGTCGACGACCACTTCATGAAAATCTCTCACGTGTTGAGAGGTTGCGAATGGCAGGTCTCCACTCCCAAACATATCATGCTTTACGAGGCGTTTGGATGGACTCCACCCGTGTTCGCACACTTGCCATTAATTCTCAATAAAGACGGCTCTAAACTATCCAAACGCCAGAACGATATCCGAATTGATTACTATAGAGATAACGGCTATTATCCCGAAACGATTCTCAATTATCTGACAACAATTGGCGCCGGATTTCCGCACAGAACAGAGAACCGAATCGATAAACTCCAAGACTTTGTCAATACTTTTGATTTAAGCAAAGTTAGCGTTAATAACGGCAAAATAGAGACCGACAAACTTCGGGTCTACAATCGCGAAGCTATTTATTGGTATTTCGACAATGGATTTGAAAATAAATTGATTGAAGAATTTAAATGCTTATTAAAGGATAGATTTAAATCAAGTGATGATTTGAATTTAGACAATAATTATCTGAAATTTTTGATATCTTGGAGTAAAGTAAGAGTGAATTGATTTTTATTAAAAATTTCTTATAAATTAATAATTGATTTTCCACTCAAGGAAAGAGTCTATACTTTAAAAGATCTTTTGAGCGAAGAATTCTTATATTTATGGAAAGTTCCGGATTTCAAGTGGAAAGTCAATGATATCGGCAATAAAGAGGACATCGGTTCGAATGACTAATTATATT